TTGTCGTGTGAGGCCGAGCATTGTCTTGCTCAAAAATGGCTCCTGGGAGCCCTTGTATGAGTGGCAACACATATGGTTGCAGGATAGCATGGATATACTGTTGAGGTGTCATTGTGCTACGGATCAATACTAGGAGTGACCATGTATAGTAGGCAATGACACCCTATACCATGACACCAGCTGTGGGAGCGGTGTGTCGTTGTAAAGCAAAGGTAGGATTAAGGCGTTCACCACGGGGTCTCCACACACGAACACGATTGTCATCACTGCTGAGATTGAATCTGGATTCGTCGCTAAAATAGACCTGGTTCCATTCAGCTGCAGTCGAGTTTCCTCGTGCGTGGCACCACTCCAAACGGAGGCGTCGATGGGTGGGTGTCAAGGGCAGCACACGTAATGGGCGCTGCGATCCCAAATGCCCTTCAGCCAGGCGCCTTCGTATGGTTCGAGAAGACACAGTGGCACCTAGTGAAGGTGCTACCTGTTCCTGGATGGCGGCCGATGAAGTTGTTGGCTATACGCGTGCATTTCTTACGATGTGGTGGTCATTTTGGCGACTGATCTTCGTGTAAATGACATCTCTCGGATCCAGTAGTCTCAACACTTACTCACAACACAATCATAGCTGCATAATTGACGAGCTACTCACCTAGCTGACCACCCAGCTTCCATCGTACCGATGATTCTTCCCCTCTGAAACTGCGACAGCTGCTCATATTGTCTACGAAAACGGCGTAATGACATGTCTACCTCAGCTGTTTCTTTGTAAAAAATTCAGCACACTCAAACAAGCTTTTGTTTTATACTCCATAGAGAACGATGTTAAACTCCCTCTACCAGCTATACGTAATACGCAATCACGCAGCATTTCTAATTATTTGCATATCTCTCCGACACATAACTTCATGTGAAGTTTCGTTATGATCCCGCAATTATTTTTTGTTGCGCTAATCTTTTTCTCCATGAGTGTATTTTGGTGAAACATGGTATGAGCTATTGTATTGTAATAATGTATTTAATTCTACTAATTTAATTCCTAAAATGTTAGTATTTTTCTTTTTTCTGCCGATTTTCTATAAAAAATTACCGTTTTTATAAAAATTTCGAAAAGTTAAGATTGAATTTTAAAAAAAAAATTCTAAGGAATGAAACAGAAAAATAAATAAATAAAAATAAGTAGTAAAATATAAAACGCAGTTAATTTGTATAAGCAATGCCGGAAATGAATGTGGAAAAAGTTGAATCAAGAAAATAAAACCATGGTCAAGAAACAAAGATAAAAGATGGTAGCATATACTGGGATAAAGAGTGGAGTTTACAAAGATCGTTTAAATTCAAATATAAACACTATCTGCACTTTTTCATAATAAATCCTATACTTTGAGATATTAAGCTCACTGCAATCTACATAAATTCACAACATGCTCTTAAGTAAATTAGTGCAAACCTATTCAATAATTTTCTCATCATTTATTTTTATTTTGTATATTGTACCATTTTTTTAAGCACTACAAGAATTTTTAAACATACGGGAATGTTGGTGCTATTTCTTATTTTTCCGTTTGAACTGCTGAGAAATGAACTAAAACCATTTCGTGTAAAGCAGGGGCGGGTAAACGTTACCAGCGTACAGGCTACTTTTAATTTTTTCAAGGTGTAGTGGTCCACCCAGGGCGTAGGTGTAGTGAGCAAAAAAGTCTACAATATTTATTATAATAAATACGGAATATGTATATCTACCTATATAAACTACAATAAAACAAACATACAATTGTGATATCCCCACCGCTGGGTATATCCTCTCCTCACCATCCACGCGACCTATATTTGAGGGAACGTTTATTCGAGGGAACGAGGAACGAGGGAAAAATCAGTTTATTATGATCTTAATTTATATACAATACAACAATACTAGAATAGGAGGCTTATGATCAGGAGTGAAACGACGCAAACCGTAATACTGATAAATAGCGCAATTAACCCTTGAGTCTATCTTTATAGATTATTTCCTAATAACATCCGCTCTATTCTTAAAGCTTAAACATACAAGCTTACCGCTATTTGCTTGGAGAACAGCTACGGCCCTTAAATCATCAATTTTATGCTTTCATCTAATTTGTTCTTGCTAAGGCTATACTCTTCTGATCTCAGACCAACTTTTGCCTATATGCACTGGCATTACTAGACCGACTCTCAGAGCTCCTATCATGCACTAACTCTCTTCCCTAGAATTTTAACTCATTTCACTTAGCTTACTTAGCGCTCTGCGCTTCACATAGCTTCACCTAGTGCTCCTCACGAATACTAACGTTCCAATATATACGATTCCTAATATGCATAACACGTTCTCTTCTTGGGTTAGTTGGAAAAAATTGCCATTCTAGCCCGAAAGAAATCCCAAGAGGATTAATAAAAGTAATTCCAAAAAGCCGTTACACACTTTAAGACTGCGTTTAAAGCAAACACAAGATTCACACATAATAATAATAATAATAACTACAATTATAATAATATCAAATAAAGTATTTGTTACGAAAAAAATCAAAATACATTGAAGAATAAAAAATTTTCCTCTAAAATTAGTGCTTATGGCTATATTCCAGTGTTTCTCAAACTGTGGGGCGCACCCCCTGGGGGGCGTGGTACCTCTACGAGGGGGGCGCTAGCATATCGAAAATAAAAGATTTAAAAACTAATTAATTTACTGGAATGAATCAAAACAAAATACTTTCAGACATAATAAAAAAAGCACTTTTTCTTGATATAATTTATAGGCGATATAATCATCTCTCTCTCAAAAATAAAAAACCCCTTCAATACCTAATTTGTTATTTTGATCCAAAACCAAATAAAAAAAACTTTATTTGATTTTCTGTAATCTCATGATGAGTGATTTTTACTATTCTTTCAGAGAAAAAACAAATCCCAGACCCAGAATCGAAAAAATTTATGAACATAAAAAATTCATCACTGTGATTATTTTTAAAATACTGCACATTATAGCTGTAATCTTTTTTTGGTGTTAATCTGTTTGACCTTCTAAGTTATTGGTACAGGTAGTTATGACCCCTCTCTTATGCGTTTGTTTCTCATTTAGGAAGTTATAAGTAATGTATTTCTCTGTTGCGCTTTTTTCCATGCAAAAGAGTTTTATGATATTTGGAAAACCACGCACTTTGAAGGATTACTTGGCCAAGACTTATTTTTATGAGTATTCTCAAACAATTAAAGTATAATGAAAACGTTTTACACAATATTTTTAGCAGTAACATAAATCTTATCATAATGAAACACTATTAACCCGGAAATGGACACACAGATCCAAAATCGTTAATTCTGGCAAAACTGTTTATTAGTTACCAAAGAAAAATTGAAAAGTTCTTGAAAGTAGGTAAGTTTACTTTCTCTTAATTAAATTATTCAATAATTGAATCATGATTTGTATTGTGTACAATAAAATAATTATAAAAAAAAAAGGATTGGGGTGACTCAATCACCCCGCGTGACCATTAACGCTAGTATCGAGTGTGTGTGCTTTAAATATTTAAAAAAAAACACTATTATTCTTCATTGTAATTTTATATTATTTTTCATTGTTTAACATTAGTTCTAAATGCTAATTCTGTGAGGCTAAAAATTACAGTTCGCTTAAAACTAATTATAATATGAGCATTCATTTAAAAAATCATTTTACATTTTCGTAAACATTGTCGCGCATTTGGGTTTACTCTCCTGACAATTCAGCTATTTATCAAGAATGTTTTAGTTTTTTAAAAAATGAACTCATTCCAAGAGCGGGTATTTCAGACAGTATAATTTTAATGTATCAGTACTGCACGAGGTATTTTATAACTAATTTATTAATACTAAATTAAGAGCAAGTTTAATAAGTATTAGCGACTTCCTTGGGCTTGTCTTGCAGAGGAAAGTTTTTCAAAGGAAGGCTTGACGATTAGAAATTGACACTCTGAGTGCATTTTCTATACATTTGGCTGAGATCTATATTTTGTCTTGAAAACAGCCACCGCATTTTACAATCTGTTCCGATTTAAAAATTCGAGAAAAAAAAATAAAATATATAATACTTAAAAGTTACATATATAAAATTTAATATACTTATCTTATTAAATTGTACGGTTTATAATTAAGATAGTTTTGTAGCTTTAGCGTCAAAGTGCATTATTATTGCATTCAATACATTATTATTGTCTAAGGTCGGCGCAATAAAAATTATGATTGAAAAGTGGGTCGTCAGTATTGAAAGTTTGAGAAGAACTGACTTATGTTATTAATTTGTACGGTATATAATAAAGATCGTGTATTGTAGCTTTAGCGTCAAAGTGCATTATTATTGCATTCAGTACATTATTAATGTATAAGGGGGCGCGATAAAAATTGTGATTGAAAAAGGGTGCGCCAGTATTCAAAGTTTGAGAAGCACTGCTATAGTCAATGGAAGACTTAGTCTGCACACTGTCAGCCAATCTTGAATATTTCGGTATATAATTACTAATGCTTATGTTAAGCGGTCACCCTAAAATGCACAGTCCACCTGTCAACCGTGATCGATTTAATGTTTACTCCTGGTGTATAGTTATTCCAATAACTTATAAATTAAGCGCTTAAAATATACCTGCTTGTCCTTAGAAATTCCTTTCGCAAAAATGTTAAAATCCTATTAAAGAATTCCTTAAATAGCAAGTAATATAAAAAAATAATGTCAGTTCCTACTTAGGTCAACAAAGAAACTTTTATTTTATTTACTTTTTATTAAATAATTACAACTTAATCTAAATATGTATATACATATGACAGAAGCTCACTATTAAATGGCAAAATAGAAAAGGACTTTCCTTGCAATTTTTTATTTTATTTTCTATATATGGTGTTGAAATAATACATATTATATATATTTATTGTTACTATTTATTGATTAATTAAATTACTTTATTCCAATAAAATAGTATAGTAAAAAGAAATCACATTCTTAGAAATTAGGTCGTCCCAGGTGGGATACTAACGCACGACCTTTGGATTAGTATCCCAACGCACTATCCATTGCGCTACAGGGACAAAACGAGTGATTTGCGTTTTTATATATGATTCTAGACTATTATTTTTATTTGTTACTATTTATTAATTAAGTAAATTTAATTAACGAATTAATATTTGAAAAACCTATATTAAACTCAAGTGTAATCCACATTAAGTTTTAAAAAAAGTATTTGAACTTGAGTGGCTGAATAAAAACTAAATTTATGAACGATTAAAAGTATGATATATATGTTTAGGGAGAGTGTGAACAAATATTAGGAATTGAAAGATATGATGAAAGCCTTAGGCCACTATCCATAATTAAATTTCATTTCCCATACTGAAATATACTTACAGCTTTCTTAGAAATTGCAATTAAGAATGCGTGTAAATTAAACTTTAAGTCGCAAAATGGTATTCAAAGTAAAAATTTCTCTTTAATTCACACACAGCACCCTGAATCAAATGGCATAATTATCCACTCTACAGACACAAAGCACTAGAATTACATGATTAAGCTTTTCAATCAACGAGGTTGGAGATTGAAAATGTACTTGAGTCTCGAAAAAAAGCTTTAAGTAACAACGTGCTGTGTGATTCAGGTCGTTATAATAGTTGCATTTTCATTTGCACCCCCTTTGAATAATTGAATGCGTTTAAAGTTAACGCTCGTGATTTGGAGATGATGAAAATGGAAATTTTTCAGATCATTCTTTCTGCTTGAGAAATACTTAACTAGAAATTGGGATGTAATTTGATAAAATTGGAATGATTCAGCATTGCCTTCATAAATACATTATACTTGTTTACTCCGCTTGAAATTCGTATTTGAGATTACTTCGTATAAGCATTTAATGCATAAAATAGAATTCTTATTTCTTTTCCATTTCAAGTTGTCGTGCCCCGAAGGTCACGGGTGTGCTGACCTTTCTTTCAAAATCTTTATATGCTTGAAAAATAGATAAATAACGAACCACATACCAAAAAAGTTCGGATTTTTTATGATTTAATTTTTATTTCTTGCAAAATAATAATCTTATTTTGTTTAAAATAAGATAATTAATATTAAAAGGGTTAGGGTCAAAAGACATTTCACAAAACTATTAGGAATTTAAAATAGAAATATATATGATAATTTTAAAAGCAAAAAAGGCCGTAAAAATCTCCATTAAAATATGCGTACATATTCGATGATATGAATAATGTGTCGTGACTAAACTAACTTTTTGCTAAAATTTAGTTTGAACTTAATCTTCATGATTATTTTCTGAAATTAATAATAAAACTTTCTTAAAAATTTTTTACTTATCCATTTTAGGCACAACTATAAAAACCAGCATAAATTTGGGACTAGATATGGTAACCCCCTTAGGAAGGTTTATTTACATTGTGTTTAAATTCTTAATTGCTAAGAGAATTTTTCCAATAGAACTACAAAAAAAAATTTAGTGATGATGTGAAATGATATCAAATAAGACGGTGTTAAAAAAGAAAAATTATTCATTGAAATGACAAAAAGTAAATAAAAAATTATTTGTTGTTTAGGCTTTTATAAAGTAACATAAAAAATAAGTATATTTTAACTCAGCACATTTGCATATATTTTTTGTGCATATTTCTTTAATTGAAACGCATTTAAACGATATATTTAAAACACGCTAAAAGTAAATAATTGTAGCGCAACTTAACTTAATGCATATTTTTACCTATGAAGGAATTATTTTAATCTACGAGTAAATGAAGAAATAGATAAGGACAGCGCAAATATATCCAAAAAGTTTTCCATTTGGTAAAATGTGCTCCAACTTGGTCAGAGAGTCGATAAAATTGTACGCCAACATCGCCGCCAGGTTACCAAATCTGTGCACCAAAAATGATACCAATTTGATGCCAAACTGATGGAGATTTATTTTTGTGTACTTGTTAATCACTGAAGACGATGATGCTTTTCTCATGTGGGAAAATATCAAAAACAAATTAATAGTATTAGATTTTTTTTATTTCCAATGGCTAGGGTTACAAAAAGCCACTACACGACAAGTGGATAGGAACAAAAACCAAAACAGACAAAACAAAGTAGAAAATAACAACGTGGCGAGGAAAATCTATGTACTCAATAAGTCTCTAGCTTGCCAATGGAGATCTCACAAAGAGGAGCCCTTTAGTTCTGGGCAGTGGTGAATGTGGTCAGCATTCATGACTTTCTATATATCACAAAGCGTGCAGAAAGGGGCATGTGCAACATGAATGCGATGATTTGTTTGAGGAGACAGTGGTGTGCAGTAGCCAGACGAAATTTGGCAACTACTTTTCGTCTTGGCCACTAGATATTTCATAAAAATTACAGTTTTAAAATTTGAGCTATGTGTATGAACAGTTGTACAATTTGTACAATAAGATTTGATCCACCGTTGGTTGGACAGGGGGAATCTTTCCAATAATAATAAAGTACAATTCAGATTATATTACCTCAAAGGTGTCCCTGATTAAATATGTACATGGCTATTAGATTTATTAAAGCTTTTCCCTCATTCAAAATGGTTTTCAACTAACCTCCTAACCTTTGTGTCGACCAATATATAGATCTTTTTTTTTAATTTATACTACTATATTGAGAAAGGAACTTTCAAATCCCCATTTAAAATGCTTATTGTTTAAAAGACATTATTGGCCTTATTGCGTATATTTGTAATAATTAAACAGAAAACTTTAAATTTATTACAAAACAATGTCTCCAACGCTTGTTATATATATTTCTTGTACCTTCCGAGATTATTGTTTAAAAGCAGAATATTGTTGAAAACTATCCGTTTTTAACACAGAACTTGCATAATAAATAAATTTCTGTCATTTGTGTTGAAGTTTTCTTGCGATATTGTGAGTTTTTTAAACTGCTTAATTTTTGATTCAAAAGCGTTCTTTGCTATCTCTTCAGTTTCCGATTTGGAAATATATTTAATTGAAATGCCGTTCAAATTAAGAGCTTGGTTGAAAGCCAAACTGTAAGTATTTTTTTTTTCGCTTTTAAATAAAACACACTGTTAGTATTCGATGCTAGTCACACATTCAAATACAATGCTTGTCTGATATCATAACTTATGGAAATCACGTGAAAATCAATAAGAATTGAATATTATAATACACTAGATTAAATATAGAATAACTAGTTGTGTACATTAAATTGCCAGAAGAAAAGAAATTGAACCCAATTAAAATTGTATTTCTATATTATTATATTATATTTAAGATGGATACTGATGATAACTGGTTAAAAAATGCATATACATTCTTTATTTTTATAATAAATTGTCATTGTTTCCATTAAGTATCAACAGATGTAAGTCAATATGGTTATTACAGCGTCCGTCAGCACGAAGCTGTGTTTCAAAAAAAAAAAAGAAGTTCGTTTCTGTAATCTGTTATACATTATAGGTACAATATTAATTTATACTGCAATAAATATGAGACCTTAAGGATCAGGAGGATTATTGTAAATTCTGAATAAAAAGTTGGTTACTATAATCTGTTATACATTACTGGCATCATATTAATTTATACTGAAACTAAATCAGACCTTAAGGATCTGGAAAATAACAGTAACTTCTGATTTGTTTGTTCTGTGGCCCTTATCAACTAATATAAAGTCCATAAACCCTCTTGCTCAGTCTTAGGTTATTTAAAATACATGAAATTCCCCATTCGACATTCAATTAGACTGAAGGAGTTTTTAATACTCAACATGAAAAAGCATAATGTAAGAATAATATTACATACCCGTTCCTTTCTTATGTATAGAAAACTTTTAAACTGGGAAGGCTATAAAGATGGAGTTAATTGACAAACTTATTTCTGAAAACAATTGTCATAAAATCACAAAAACTGTTCTCATTTCTCTTATATAAATAAAACACAACAAAAAAATACTTTATTAAGAAACTTTAAATTGATGATTATTAAAACAAATTGTATTAATGATAAACAAATTTGTAAACGTCATTCATAAAAGTAAATTAATTTTTTTTTTTTGTATATAATTTTTAGTAAAACACATTGACAAGATTTTAATTAATTGAGTATTGTATAAAATCAAATAATTACAGTATTCATTCGAATTTAAGCCGTGCCTTAAATTCTGAACATTTTTTAATGAAAAAATAAAAATAAAAAATAGTGGAAAATAAATCCTTCGATATCCCTCATATACAAAAATAAAAAAAAATTTAAAAAAATACAGGAGAACTAATAAAAAGTGAATAAAACTAATTTATTTTGCCAGTATTAAAATCTTTTAAACACATACATACGCCTGTAATTGCTCTAATATTCAGCATCAAGTTCAATTAGCATGTGTCAATTCAATTTTTTGCCTTCAATTCTAAGCCGCAGACAAATTTCAGTAGCATTAAAATCGGGAAAAAAATGTGGCTTATAGATTCGAATAAATATAGTAAAATCAAAACAATTTAATGATTGAATACGATCACCATCAAACTTGTAACTAATAGTTTGTTAAAATCACTCCTTCCACAGTCGAAATTGAAGCTTTGTTCTTTAGAATAGATAAGAAAAAGGAATGGAAAGTTACGCATCTTTTAAAATATTCCAGAAAAAAAAAACTAAAGGAAATTATAAGCTGTATCCAGTGACTTATAAGGAGAATATTAGGACCCTCCGGCAAAGTCAGGTTTTGGGTCCCTTACAATCCTGGGCCCCCTAGTTTTCAGACGGTATACATTAAGACAATGGCGGTGTCACTATTATTACGCTTAGGATTTTAATGTCAATAAATATGAATCATTTTATAACATTTAGGTAAGCGTTAGGTCTCATATATAGTATATATATAGAATTCGGAATAACTAAATAAATTTATAAAACGACATTTTAACATAAAAATAACTTATTTATTTTCAGGGGCGTTGGTGGTTCATCCATTCCTTACAAGGAATTCAAGGATGAACCTGGATCAACTTCTGAGGAAGTCAAAGTAGATCCAATGATTTATGTGAGTAAATTAATCAGTATTTTCTATCAGATTT